TGGAGTAACTTGGGATGATGTGGCACCATATTTATTGTATTTCTTTAATATTTATGAAAAATAAAAGGAGATAAACAAACTCGAATGAAGGGAGTATGTTTTATATATTAGAACAAATCTGACATATTTGAAATAATTATATATAAAACATAAAGGATGTGTGAAATGAAAAGAAACAAATGAGTCAACGATAATTACACATTGTTATATAAATAATTATTTTAATTTTTGATGCAAAAAACATTTTTCCTGGTGCATTTGAATTAATTTTTTTCCCAATCATGACATGATTGATAAATAAATACATAAATGAACATTTACTATCATACTATGGATGACTTTAAAAAACATTTTTCGTGGTGCACTTGAATTATTTTTTTTCCCAATCATGACATAATTGATAAATAAATACATAAATGAACATTTAATATCATTATGGATGACCTTCAAACGAAAATAAAAACCATATCATATTTAATTCATTTAAAATTATAATTAAAGGAAAAAAAAACTCCAAAAAATTTGCATAGATGAAAGGAAATATTTGAATAATAACATAAATGAAAAAAAGTGAAACCAAAAGATGAGCTGAATTAAAAAAAGAAAAAAGAAAAAGGGGGAAATGTACTTGCAGTCGCATGTTGGTTTTTTTCTCCTAAAAAGTGTATCTGTTTATTTTTTTTTCGAGTAAAAACTCCTTCATCAACCCATTTTCAACAATAAAAATTATTTTTATTTACATTTAATAATAAATAAGTAAATTAGTTTTTGATTCTTATCTATAAATTGGAGTTCCAATCTACTTCACCTTTCATTCGTTAGCTATTAAATACCTACAATTGACTTTGAATGCTTAAATTCTTTTAATGGAAGTTGAAATGGGTATGTTGTTGTCACGTGTTCCAATGACTTTCTCCTTCCTTCTTCGTTCCCCCAATCACATCCCTTTCTATATACCGGAGCAAGAATGGCAGGAACTTTTTGAATATTTAATTATTTATCTATAAAGATTGAAATTGACATTCTTAAATGAAAGGATCAAAATAAAAATTGAACAAAAGTAACATTGTTTTGCAACACTCTGTGTGCGAAAACGTTGCCGTCTGTAAAAGAGTTCTTGTTGATCCTAAACAGTAAAAAACTTCATCGGTTTTAGTTTCTTTTACTAGTTTGATATCCCACGTAATATTACGAACCTAACGAAAAACTATTTATGTTTTTTAAAGTCAAATAATGTTCGAATTCAAATAAATCAAATTTATATTCTACAAATATTAATATTGTCATATAAAACAAATCTGCATATTAAATCACGCATATATATCATTTAGATTTTTTTTTTTTTTTTTTTAGTTTGTCACGTTCATTCAATATATTATTATTATTATTATTTTTTTTTTGTTAATTGTTAATAATTTCGTACCCATTAATTCAGAAAAAGAGAGAGATGAGTCGTCTGGACCTTTTATCCGAAAAAATCGACAAAACGCTTCGAGATTTGTCTCCAAATAATTCAAGATGCAGTATTTTTAAGGTCCCCGGTTGCCTCCGCCGTGTAAACGAAAGGGCATATGAACCGGAAATTCTCTCCATTGGTCCTTATCACAGTGGAAAGGATAACTTGAAGATGATGGAAGAACATAAAAAACGGTATCTACAAAAGCTTCTTGAATTCAGGAGCGAAAATGATTTGGCAAGCTATGTTGCGGCTATGATAGGTTTGGAAGAAAGAGCTCGTCAGTGCTATGATCAGTCCATAAGTCTTGGCAAGGATGAGTTTGTTGAAATGTTGCTTCTTGATGGTTGCTTCATTGTTGAGCTTATTCGCAAATGCACTACTCACTCTGTGTCCCAACGGGGAGATTATCAAAATGACCCTGTTACTGAAAATCCTTGGATTCTCTATAGCGCAACAGTCGACATGTTGTTACTTGAAAATCAACTTCCCTTTTTTGTTCTTTTGAAGTTGTTTTCTATGGCGATGCCGAACAGAAACGAAGACTATTTCGTTACGAGGATAGTAGCTTTCTTCGAAGTGATGTTTCCTGGCTCAGAGCTTGAGCGAGAACATCATAAAATTTCTTCGAATGGATCGCATCTTCTGGACGTAGTATATAAAGATTGGCAGCCGTCTGCACCTGCTACGACTACCATGAGTGCACCAAATGACAACAAATGGAAGTTCATACGCTGCGCCAAAGAGCTGAAAGAAGCTGGCATTAAGTTCAAAAAGCGAGAAGGATCATAAGGGTTGCTCCACGGTGTAAATTTTGAAAATGGCACGATGGAAATTCCACTTTTGGAAATTGAAGATGCAACTGAGCATGTCTTACGAAATCTTGTTGCCTATGAACAATGCTCTGGGCTCAAACATCACTGGTATGTCACTGATTATACCATATTGATGGATTGTCTCATCAACACTCAAGAAGATGTGCGGATACTTCGACACTGTGGAATTATTGAAAATTGGTTGGGTGATGATGAAATGGTCTGCACCTTATTCAACAAATTAGGCACCAATGTCCTGCTCTCCGATCCTGATCGCTTTCATTATGCTGGAGTATTCCGCCGTGAGAATGAGCACTGCGAGCGGCGGCGCAATGTATGGTTGGCCAAATTAAGGCATGATTATTTCAACAGTCCGTGGGCATGGATTTCCTTTTTAGCTGCTCTTGCATTGCTTCTACTCACCTTTTTACAAACTGTGTTTACAGTTAAGTCTTAAGTCGAACAGGGCCGCGATGCAGGGACAAAATAGGGTGACACAGATCCATTACACAGTACTCTATTATTTCAAATAAATTCTCCAACCATCTTTTCCATGTCAGATCAATCGCCAATATCCTGCTGAAGAAACATATACCTGCATTTGATGGACCAATGTTTTATGTAACTGCCTTTATGGGATCCTAAATTGTTTATGTGTCAGTGAATGTAATAAAACCGTATTCCAGAACTTCGCCTAGGTTAAACTTTTAGGTCGTTTGTTCTTTTGTACGAACAATAATGTATTTTTCTTCGTAAACTTAATGTACTGCACGTATTTAATCTCTTATTTCGCATGCAATACTTAAGTAATTTGCTATTTCTTCGTTTCCTCTGTCCATCTAGGTTACTCTATTTCTTAATAAAATTCTTTTTTTTTTTTTTTCCCTTTCATTCTTAGGCAGAGCCAGGACCGTATTGTCCATTTGTTTTCTCGTTTTTTGTTTTTAATAAATTATCTTATTTTTACTTTCGTTATGATTTATTTTTTTCAATTTTATCCCAAACCCATCAAAATTACTAGAAATTATTGCCTTTCTGTTGAGAAATATAAGTTTGCTGCACCTTGCATTGGAAAATATAAAATTTTCACAGGCAAGAGAGGAGCAATATAGAGTAACATGTCAGATAAATGAAGACAATGCTAATATTCATCTGAACATAGAAAACAAATTATTGTGTAATTTTATTTGAGAACTTCAATACAGGCTGCAGAGTGTGTGGGTGTTTCAATTACCTAATTAAACAGACATCCAAAAACGTCTATAAACATACCAGGTTCATATAAATATATTCTTAGCATCCACTATATAGCCAAAATATCCTGAAACATAATCAACCTTGTATATATCATCTATCCAGAAGCATGAGTGTGTGGGTGTTCAATCCAGCCCGCCATGTTTCTCACAGACTTGAATCTAATTGACTTACCGCATCAATGTAAGAATTAAATCTAATCCATATATCTGCATCTTTAACAAACCCTTTTTTACAATTAAACAGGTCTTATTGAGTTCTTCACCAATCAACATAAGTAACAACAGCAGCGTTTTCTATCCCGTGGGTATCCCTTAATTCTTTATTTCCTTTACTCATTGACATTCAATAATTGTCTGTATATAAGTGTTGTGTCTAAGACTCTAAGAAGAAAAACACAACTTTCTCCTTTAACGTAATAGTAAGCACTTTCTCCCGGCCCATTTGGTTAGATACTCTAGTTTTATATGTAAAACTTTGAATATATAAAGGAAATAATTGTTTTGGTTTTTCAGTTGACAGGATAAGATAAAAAAAGGAAAAATAATTGAATTTATTATACAATTCATGATAGGATACTGTCTAAGAGACTTTGATCTCTGTATTAGATTGTTTTGGTTTTGCAGGCATGGACCAAGCAAATAGGTACACAGTTCAATAACCAATAATCAGGAAAATGAAAAAAAGAAAAACTTAGTAGAAATCGAATGAAAAAGAAGGGAAAAGATGAAGAGGAGCTCAAATAACAATGAAGCTGACAGTTTTAAGGTAACAACAGTCCCAGCTAACATAATTTTCTTTGTAGGAAAAGGAGGATATCTTGGGAGCATAAATAACATTTGTATTAATAGGATCACAAACAATAAGGAAAATACATATTACATCGAGTTAAACCTTGTCTTCATTTATTTTAAAGGCAGTGTTTCTAGAGGTAGTAACATTGAACCTAGTGTATTTCCCATCTCCACACAGGATGGCTAGAGCTTCAACACTAATCTGTTGGAGTACTAGAGGTAGATAAACATGTAGTGGGCATAATCAGTGAAATGTTGTTCCATCAACTGTTGATATATTGAACATGTAACAGTTATTCACAGATCATAGCAATGCCGATTCCCTGAAATACAAAGTTCTATCATCTTTATAGGCACCATGCTTGCAGAATCCCTTTCTTTGACAAAATTATGTGTTATTAGCTATTCTACCTAGTATATAATCGGACATGCTTGTCAAATTAGCATCTGAAGGCAAGACTTTATATCATATGTTTCACCATCTCAATGAAGAGAAAACAGAAGCATGTGACCAGAGTGCCAAAGAATTGCAAAATAAATCTTGCCAAGTTACGAAATTATAGCTTTAGAATTTGAAATTAGCAAAAAGGTTTTGAGGACTAGATTCATTGAAGAATACAAAACCATCCAGGCATATGCAAGATCCCTGTTTTGACTTCACACCATGAATGGTAGAGTACATCACTCACTATATCTGTAGGGAAATATAAAAGGTCCAAAGAAACTAACCATATGTTCTTCAGAACCATGAGCATGAACAGACTTGAAATAATGTGTTGCATTTTGGCAAATCGAACCAACAACCAGGTCATAATTGTCCACGGAAGTGCCTGAGCAGCACACAGCTTTCAAAAGATAGGGTTCGATCTTTGCAGCACAGTTTTTCATGACTTCTTTCCCCAACATCCATGAAGTTGGCGAAACATTCTGAACAGAGATGCTCATAATATTAGCATCATCATAAGAAAATAAAATAAATCAAGATGATAGGGGAAAATTTTCATTACCTTGTTATCCTTTCTGACACAAACTAAAAGAGGAAAGAGAAAATCCATTGGAACTTCATCACTTTCTAACACGACAACGGACATTATTGCCACCACAGCAGTGAATATAACATCTAACTCGCTTGACCTTAGAATTGAAAAAAACAAAAATCAATCTGTACAAGCCATATATTAATTTCAGTCTTCTGAAAAAGGGAAAGCAGAAGGGAAGAAAAGGGATGGAACCTGCACAAGAGGATAAAAGAAGAACTAAACAATTCTACAACAGCCTTAAGAAAACTTGATTAAGCCGGCCTAGAACAAAACCAAACTGACAAGGATATCGCTCTTTATCACCATAAGCATGTTTTTCTGATTTCTGGAAAGATCCACCGGATTACACAAACAACTATATAACATTCACTCTGTTCTGAGCCAGAATAAACTCTTAAGCAACCTTTTCCAAAGAACCCCAATAGCAGGACTACAATTTAGGTTATTTTGCCACGGAACTAGAAGCTATAACAAAAACTATTTCACCAAAAAGTTCCAAGAAAAAAAAAAACAAGATTTTTGCACACAATCAAAAAATGCCAAGTGACTCTGGTACCCTCAAAGAGAAGCAATTCCACAGGTTAAATAAGCATTTGAAATTCTGAAATTTAAATGTGGCATGTTTTTAAGCTTCAGAAGCTGTGGAAGTGTAATTGAAAGGCAAAGCCTATGAAATTTTACACAAATTTATCAGCAAACACGTAGCTACAACTGCAAGAGATGAGAAGCAAAATGACACCTTGTTGGGGTAATTACCTTCAGAAAAATTTGGAACGTCTCAATGACCAAAGCATGACACTCAATATCCAGCAGCACAACAACTGCCTGTGTTGTTGCAATGGTGACAAGGAGTGATACTACCTTTGGATAACACCTACTTGACATATGAGAAAGCTTCTGAAAGACAGCTACAATTTGATGAAATATTTCCTGCACAACCACAAATAAGAGATCAACTACACAACCTCTTCTTAGACTGCTAATGATAAGAAACAATATGACAAAATATCTGGATCCAAATATGAAATACTAATTTTAGATACTCAAATCACCTTCATCAGTTCATCATTATAAGGAGAACTAGGAGCTGTTATTCTCATAATCTAACAAACGCAAAAGACAATTGAAACTTTCACTTCTGCATCTGAATGCCTCAAAAGACTATATATCAGAAACCAATGCCTTCCTCAAAGGTGAAAGTGCAGCAGCTACTGATCTGTAGGATGATTGCTTCACCCTTAATAACATAACCTCAACTCTCTAGAAGGCATAACAAAGAAAGAAGAAGACAAAATGTATCAGGAGTCAAATCAATTGAGAAAAAAACAGTAAGATAGGAAGAAAAGGATATTAAAAATTGTAAAATAGCAATGCAGACCCCAGACCACATACAATAGTTTATAGAAGTTCATTTTATTGCTTATTCAATGCCAGATATAAGCATCAGGACGAAATAATTTGATACCATCCAATCATACATGAGTAATATTAACATTACACAAGCATCTACCAACATAAGAGAGAGGGACGGAGAGAGTGAAAGACATGAGAGCTTGGTAACATACCGGCAACAAAGAACAATAATAATTGCATTTCATCATTCACTAATGCCTACGAAGAAAAGAAACTTCAATATCCTTGACCCAATTAAGCGAAAGCCCAAACCTTTGACTAAAGCTTAACTTTTACAAATGTCAAAACAAACTATTTGCTAGAAAGTACAAACACATCAGTCAAAGAGTTTACATCATCCCAAGCACTTACCGTTCCATGCACTCATAAACAAAGCTCTATTGAGTCATGAAACTGATTGTATCACGTTCTCATTTTCCTAATTTTCTATTCGAATTCTTATTACCAATTCACCAGTCATATTCCAGTACCGTCATTGGCATTAACCAATAAAAATTAAAAAAAAAAAAAAAAAGGAAGGGCCACAAACATTTAGTTCAAATTGCTAGAAACTCCAAAATGGGGCCTCAGTTCTATCAACAAACAACTATAAAAACACTAGGGAAAAAAGTTATTTTTTGTCATATGTAACCTAACCCCACTCCCACAAAAAAAAAAAAAAAAAGCATCAAATCGACTACAAGAACAAATAAAACATATAAAAGAACAAAACTTTCACATAATTCTGTAAAAAATTGAAGAAAAACAACAATATATATATGTGCAATAGGTGCATGTACAGACGTACAATAGCGTCTGCAAAAACAAAGAAATGGGTTTTGCTTACATCAAGAATAGAGAGGAGTTCATCAAGGGAGAATGGTGGGTTGAGGAGTTTATTGCCATCATCAACCAGTTGAAGTTCTAGCTGCTGCTCTTTTCCCGCCATCATTTCTTCTTCTTCTTTTTTTCTTTTATTCGTATGCTTTAAAGACCCGGAACCGGAAGTATTATTATGTGTGCATAAAGAAACGGCCGTTGTTTCTTCCTTTTTTACCCGTACAAACTTTCTATTTTTCTTTAATCTTCTGAATGGATACTTCATTATTTTGTCGGACGTACACCATAAGCACATGTATCTAAAAAGCCCGACATTTAAACAATTAAAATTTTTTCAGTTCATGTGAACCCGTCCTTAGCCCTTCCGGTTAGAATACTAGCGAAAGTGTTTTTATTTTTTTTTGTGATTTTTATTTTTTACTGTAATTAATTTATCCAGATAGACGTGACAATCTTTAAAATTTTAATATATTGCTCATTTATTTTTGAGAAAAGATAGGGTGACAACACAATACGTAACAACAGGGGACAACAAGATGCTGTTTTTTCAGTGGTAATATCATGGCCATTCAGACAACTCTAATGGTTTGTAATTATTACAGCAATCTAACACCCATATCAAACATCAATACCTAATTTAATGTATTTTGGAATCCTATTCATTAAAGAACATATCAAAAAGCAATCCCACCATTCATTAAATCTTGACTTATTTCATTGGTCCATGTCCACCCCTTCCCTATCTCTCTCTAAGCGCACCATCAACCCATCACTCATGGATCATGCAGCCACAAAACTATCAAAAGCATTTTTCTGTTCATGCCTTAATTTCTCTGCTTATGTTACAGTATCTGAATTACCCATCTGGACAAAAGGTGGCTTGATGACTAGAAGCTTTTTGGGAGGATTTCATTTCCTAAGAATACCCCAGGTGAATCCAAATTCTAGTGTATTAAATGGACAACTTACAACAAAGCTTTGGGAAGAAGAAAAGGATTAGGTGTGTAATTTAACATAAAATACAGTCCACTGGAAAAGGAAAGGGAAAAAAATGGTACCGTAAGGAATATTCCCAAAATTTACTCGTGAATTGCCCGAAACTTGTCGATTGAATCTGTGATTTCTCTCAGAAAATACGTTGGGTTGTTTAAGAAAGAGATACGATGAGATAGAGGGAAGATGTTGAGAGAGATGTCATTACAGAAGCTACAATGATTAGAGAGAGCTGAATTCGGTGGAGAGAGTAGGCAAGGACTTTCTGTCTTTGAAAGAGTATACGTATAAGACGTTCTCCGCTTGTGGCGGCTTTTAAAATAAAGAAAATCACCCATGACGACACTTAAATTGTTTTTGCAACTTTTCTGAATAAGAAGTGCTGCAAGACTGCATGTGAGAACAAAATCGTTGGCTACATGCTTCATGAATATCTCATTGCTCATGGCGTTCAAAATAGCTATTTGGTCCACAAAGATGTTCGGTCACCAGATAAAGCAACCGTGCATTAGAGAAGGAAATAGATTATACCCTAATCTGATGAGATCATAACCTCGTCTTTAGCGTTATTTCAATCAGTATAAGTTAGTGTCATTGAGATATCACTTAGTCCTGTAATTTACCAATCATCTGCATTACTCCTCCTTTGAGGCAACTGCATGCTTGCTATGTCTTCTCTTGGGAGACTGTACACTACTGCATTACCAGAATCATTGGCGATTTGCGGATTTTCAGATGTTAGCGCTACGAGATGTGTAGCCTCCTTGTTTCTACGAGACACCAAGTATGCAATTGCAGCCAAATATACTGCCATGCCCAAAAATCCAAATATTCCAAGAAAGATAGCAGCTGCAAGCTTTAGGTGGCCATGAAAAAGAATCTTGATGAAGCCACTTGCAAGGTAGTAAATATTTATTGCCATGATCAAAAAACCAATGACCCAAGTAATAGCTGAAATCTGCGAAGGAGGATTATATTAACTGATGATAAGACAAGATCAATAAATAAATAAAGTAGTATATATGCAGAATGAACACAGCATGTTTTAAGCCTGGCATGCAAAGACAACTATTTTCTTGGTTATTTTAAATATATCTCTGATGTTCTTAATGAGATATTTTCAAGATTAAACCGTGCTGTAGATAGTCATGGCATTCTGAACCTAATTAGAAATCTCCAAATTTAATGTTGAACAAAACTTAAAAGAAACAATGTAAGCATTGATCAAGTAAAGGCAATACCATAGTTGAGTTGGCATATATCCCCATCTTGGTTTTGCTGCTTGTGAACTTGAGAAGTGGAATGAGAGCAAAAGGGAGCTCAAATGATAGAATCATCTGGCAACGCAGCATTAATGTGAGCTAGATATGCTAAAGAGATGACGGAGTTTTTACCTGGATTTCTATTGGACTGAGAAATAACAGAATGCATGTATGGCAATCAATAATGAGATTACAAAAAGATATACTACTTTTCCACTAAAAGCTGGAATCTCTGTTCACATGAGAAAGTCTGATTTCCAGAGAACTGCCTCTGGTGGAACGAATGAGAAGTAACAAGATGCAGTTTGTGAACAGTAAAGTTATTGCCTTCAGGTTTCTATTGAGCATCCAAGAAACCACTGCTTCAATGACATTAACTTTCTTATGAATGCAGCTAATGTGTAGCTTTGCATGACAAGAAATACTTTATCCGAGAGAAAAAAAAATCCATTTCCACTACTTCAAGAATGTTTACATAAGATTGCATTAGATGGTAGAAATCAGTCATCAAATAAAAGAGCCATCATTTATTAAAATAAAAGACATCCTAAATGTCAACATCAAAAGGCATTTTAAGATTTTCTGAGAAGGTTTCTTTTAAAAAAGAAAAAAATCAGTGAGATAATTGTGCATGGAGCTATTATCTGAAACTTGCAATGTAAGGCTGAAGCTCCACCTTCTCCCATTTAGGATGATGAACATGGAAATATACTTTACCCAAAACAAAATCAGTATTTTCATTGCACATCTAATTACAGTGCAAATATTTTTGTTGTGGTCATAGCACATAAATGATAAATCATCATAAATCTCTCATTTCCCAAAGAAAAAGAAGAAGGCAACATTCTATAACATCACTGACTCAACATGAGAAATTAGGCAGTGAAACTGCCGTAAGTTTAAATGTAATGTCACTTTCTGCAAAGGCACTGTGAGTGTTTATATTCTGTCCACTGCACATATATAGATCTGAAATGTAAATGAACGCCTTTTTTCTGAAAGCATAGTATTTGTGTCAAACAGATCATACCGATGCAATAATAATCAGCTTTCCAGCCCCAGCAGAGCCCCCAATGACTGCAACAATTAAACTAGGGACTATGGCCAAGCTTCTAGTTAGGAAGTTTCGTATCCATGGTGTCAATCGCAAATCAAGAAATCCCTGCAGCAAGAAATGAATGGAACAACGAGTGACAAAAGAATCCAAGGAAGCAAAAGAAACAAAAATGACAGTTTGAATTGCAAACAATCAAACATCCAAAACTCTCAGACAAAATTCAAGAATGCCACCACAAAGTCTATTATAAGGTCAAAGCAACTGCTTTCTAGCCAGAAATTCATGTGCAGATATTGAAAAATTTAGAGTCACTATCAGATACCTGCATGACATACTGCCCTGCATAAGTTCCTGTTATAGTAGAACTCTGACCTGATGCCAGCAAAGCAATTGCAAAAAGTTTTGAACTCCAACTACCTAATACATTCTGCAAACAAGAAACCACAATGGCACTATCTTGAAAAAAATATCTGGACCAATGGAGCATTAAGGAAATTGAAAAATCACAATATGTTATAAGAGTAGAAAACCAAGTCAGGATTGACAGGAAATCAGACAATTGAAAAAGCATCGCTTATCACTTACTTTCAGAAGAAAGGAAGCTTTGTTCAAGTCCAAATCCTTGCAATTTTCCTGATCTTCAGCATTTATATTTGGTGAATTGCAAACCGAACCACTCACAGAAATGACAGATACATTGATGAGAAAGGCTAAAAGGAGAGCAAAGCCACTTTCTATCATGTAAAGTCTGCAAGCTTCCTGTGATCAAGAATTGCATTGGTTTCTGCCTGTTAATAAATTGACAGAGTAGATACATATTTCAAGAAGTTCACTATGGACATCAATTTTTTTCATTTTGCTAATGGCTTCATAAAGTTTTCATTCTAAAAGTACACCCAAATTTTTTAAGCTTAAAAAGAAACTGGCAAGCACAAAATTAAATCAGGTCTATGAATTATCTAAATTAGTTAGAATGAAGATACTTCCCCTGTCAGCCAAAGCTACTTTCTACAGATGTCGGAGAGCACATCTGAGACCATGGGTAGGAAGGTAACAAATAATACTTCAACTGGAAAAAAGCTTACTAACGAAAAGGCTAATCAATTAAGTTCATTTTATGATTACATTAGTTAATGCTGCAGTTTACAAAGATCAAAAACAGTAGGGAAATCCACTAGTAGAGAAGGTACCAATGTTGCATATGAATATAATCTTTCCAAAGAGGCTTAAGAACTGCCAACTCTCAATGACTCAACCATTTTAATATCAGAGCACTTTTCAACTCTTATAACTACACATTAACATAGACATGCATGAAAACAAACCTAAGGCATCTCAAGGACACCCACAAGCAAGCTCAAAGTCGTCTACTAATCATATTTACCTTGATACCACGAACAGATCGCGGGATTTTCCTTGAAAGCACTAATGCTGAATGGAGAAAGAGATTGTGCCTGCAAGAAGATCATAAAAGTTAAAGAATGTAAGAGAGGTTTTTCAAATGGAAGAAACCATGAGTAGATTTAACATAAAACACATACGGCATAACCATAGCACCAAGAAGTGAAATTGCAAGACCAGCAGCACCACTTCCCTTTAATTGGGGAATAAAGAGTCCTTTCAGAACTTCTTTAGCATCAGGCTTTGCATAGCCAAGCTCTGCAAAAAAGCATCCAGCTATGGTACACACGAGAAACGCAATCAAGAATTCAAGCTTCCGAACCTAAACAAAGAAAACAAGATTGACAGACAGGTTTAATATAACATAATAGAAATTTAGTAGCAAGTACACATATTTAT